CTCCTTGCCACTAGGTTCACTGTAAAAGGTTTTCGTGATTTTCCTCTCCATGTAACGCAAATGCGAGTTAGTCCTCTAAGAAGGAAATTTCTCCCAATACTTGATCCTGGAGTTCCATTGTCTTCTGGATTAGGTTCAAAATTACAAGGCTACGGAGTTGAACATTGGTAGTCGTAAACTCAAAATTGGGTCTGCTGTTCAACGACGGTTATAAAATAAAATGCCTATCGATTGAAACATTTATATTTGTGGTAAAAGTGAATGAGTTACTTCTTTGAAATACAAAGTAGAACCGAAATAGGTAACTTTAATAATAGTAATATTTTATTAACTAAGAATAGTACATTTTTATTTAACTTAGAGTGATTGCATAAATTTAAAATGCGTTCATTCCCAGCCGAGTGCAGATGCACTAAATATATCACCGAGCACTAAATATATAACCGAGTGCACTAAATATATCATTGAAGAGTGTTAATCTAAAAAGAGATAATCAAATAAAAAATTTTGTCTTATTTTAGCAATATTTTTTTCCTTTAATACCCACCTCGGTTGACATTCGTCAATAATATTTATTTTAATAAACAATGTTATTATTTTGAGAAAATTTTCTACTTTCTGTAAAAATAGTTAAATGATAACATGTATCTTGCTGTCTTTTGATTTGTTTTATTGACACAAACTGTAGAGAAGAATTTCGTCTTGCTCTATCACGTGATTGGTAACGAGAACGTTAGAAAACGTTTTTTACGTGACTTTCATCCAATGCATTAAACTTTCAGTTGTCACAAGAATGACACTTCCTGAAAAAGATTCTATAAAGCGGTAGAGAATTAAAAGAATTAAAGTGATAGAGAATTCAAAACTAAAATCTGCAGAAATTTGCTAAATTTTGATCTTCACTTTTAAAAGCTTACCCATTTTAAGTATTTTTTTTTGTTTCGCAAAACTTTTTTAACACTTACATTACACATTTTTGTTAAAATGTATACAAAAATTTGTCTGCCACTCGAGAAAATTTGTCCAAAAAGCAAACAAGTTGTCATATTTGTTTGTAATATTGAGTCAATACTTTTATTTTGGCCTTTGAATATTGAATACCCAAATTCAGCAAATACATGATCTGAGTTGTAGAGCTGGACTGTTAGTGACAGAAATATTATAGGTTTCATTTGTAACAAAATCAACAAAAATCACAAATCATTATAGCTCAATTTTAAGTATTGCATTAGATGTAATAGATTCAGAGCCAAAACCCCAGAAGCTATTATCGCTTCAGTAGTAATAAAGGTATTAATAGGTAATAGCTGTAGTAGTTAATAGTAGTAGGTAATAATAATAATAGTAGTTAATAGCAGTAGATAATCAGTAGTAGTAAACTTCCGTGTCTTCTTGTTACAGTTGAGAAAATTTAACTGTGCTGTAGGTATACATAATATTAGGTGCATTTAATGTAACATGTACGGGTAATTTCTTAATAGCTGACATTAACATGCATTTTTAGAATTCTTATCAGAAAACGTACCTATTATTACCATTTATACTAGAAGGAAAACAACAATGCAAATAGAAAGTTTGTATTTTTATAAATATTTTACTTTTAAGGATAAAATTAAGAAAATCACTAAATTTAATGAAAAAAAAGCATCTCAATTCCGAGTGTCCCATACGAGCAGCCCCTAATATGTATTTTTGGAATCCTTGTTTAAAGTGAAAAATAAGTGTACAGAGTAGGATAGCCTGGTTGTTAGGGAACTGGGTCCATGTCCAAGAGGTAGTGGGTTCGATCCTTGGTGGCCCCAAGTAGTAAATAGAGACTGGTGCACGCTAAATCAGTAAAGTCACAAAGTCCTCCATGTTCCCATAACAAATCCTCTGGGAGTACTGATATTGGAGATTCCTTGTCGTTTCAAAATTGGATCAAAATTACAAGCCTACTGAGTTGCATATTAGTAATCGTAAACCCAAAATTCGTTCGACAGTTTGTTTGCCTTCCAATGAGGTGCACCGGGTTCGAATCCCAGCGATGGCTAGTCAATGCGAATTCCACATCCGGCTTGCAGCGAACACAGTGCTGCCGTAAAATAACCTCAGCGGCAGACGGATCATGGATTAGAGTCCCCTTGCTGTTAGGCTAATCGTGAGAGGTTTTCGTGGTTTTCCTCTGCATCTAACGCAAATGCGGGTTAGTTCCAGCAAAATGTCCTCTGGCGAGGCAAAATTCTCCCAATAGTTGATCCAAGAGTTCCCTTGTCTTCTGGATTGGGTTTAAAATTACACGGTTACGGAGTTAAACAATAGTAGTCGTAAATTCAAAAATTAGGTCTGCTGTTCAACTACGGTTATAAGATAAAATGAAATGAAAACTTGAAGTTATAACTTCTTACTAGTATTAATACCAGCAAATATGAAATCCTTCTATGAGATTGTAATGTTAATATAAGAATGTTTTTCTAATTATAGTGGTATTGAAAAAGAAAACGTCTCTTCCTATGCTTATTTTGCTCAGTAAAGTTTTCCTGCTCTTATTTTGGTTGATGCAAATTCTTATGGCTAAAAAAGGACACCATTTCTGAATCCTTCAAGCATAATCTTTCAAATTGTACCATCCGTTTTGTCATGTAAAATCTTTTAAATCATTTGTGCTAAAAAAATTGTTTACATAAAGTTATTAAGGAAGTGTTTCCAATCTTACGATCAACCCCGGCATTTTCCTTAACGACTTATAATTTTAGCTATACTAAGCATTTTAATTTGATGTGCATCAAAGATTCTCACTGTGGTGAAAATTTTCTGGTTGATTTTAGTTAATTCAATTTTTAAGAGGGTATGGCATATATCAGTAATGCTAAAACTGACCTTTTTAGATCTACCTTTTCTAAGAAACTACTCATGATATCGCTTTGAAATTTTTGGGGGATACTTGAGATTACATCAGTTGTAGGCTGTGAAGATCTTTTAGCGTTAACAAGAATAATCTATGAAAGATTTTTGATGAAACTTTTTTTTAAAAAGAAAGGTTCTCAGTTCATAGTTTTTTTTTTTTCAAATGTTCTGCCAACAGTATGTATCAACAGTTATCCTAATGTAAGCGCGAATATGCAAAAATTCTGTGAAAGAAACTAAAGCAATATCTTGTTTCGATTTTCCCCCCAAAATAAATTTAAAAAATAAATTCAGTTACCAATTTTTACTTCTCTGAAAATGAGCACTTGAGAGATTTTGCGGTTCATCGGAAAAGGGGAAGAGCTTTCCTGTTGATACAGTAAAGAAAGAGTCTATACACCAATGTTAGAAGACCTCTGATAAACATGCTTAAACTATTTACGTTTCGTGGTGGTCCAGCCCATTTCAGGTAAAATAGTATGAAATCAAAAACTAAGTATTCCTCTAGAAAACTTTTTCCTCAAAAAGGGTAAAAATAGGTTGCTAAGGAAAGTGCTTGTGTGTTCATTAACTTCAGTTTCTTTCTGTTCTATTAAGGGCAGTCGGTAGGGCATACAGCAATGCTAAAGCTGACCCTTTCGATGCACCTTTTCTAAGAAACTATTTAAGATATCGCCTTAATATTTTTGGGAGATATTTTAGATTATATGAGTTATATGATGTGAGTGTCCGAAGACCTTGTTTCAGAAAGGAAACCGTGGGCCAAAATGAATGGGAAACGGGCCGCAAGCGGCTCCAGATGCTCAAGATCAGGAACAAGATCCCGGAAAAAATTATTTGTGCTGAAAAGTTTATAATTTAGATGAGTAAAAACTCATTTTAATAGTTATGAAATTCAACTATAAATGCAATGGTTTTGCTATAAGTTTTTCCGCTTTTTCGTCTTACTTTCAGTTTTGAAGCGTGATATTTGGTGATAAAAGGAAAGCGGAGGTTAAAAAGATTGGAAAACAGTATGAAATTATTTATGAAAATCCCCTAATAACTTATTATTAATCATTCTTTAAATATGGAAATAAAAATATTAAATGTGTGAAAAACAGTTTTTTGTAATAGATAACTTCTTGAATTTTTTATTAATCGCTTCCCTGATTATCCCGAATTAACTCGGTTATCTATATATTGCAAATATTCATTATCCCGAGAAAACTCGGGTATCTATATACTGCAAATATTTATTTTCCCGAGAAANATTTTCATTATCCCGAGAAAACTCGGGTATCTATATATTGCAAATATTCATTATCCCGAGAAAACTCGGGTATCTATATATTGCAAATATTTATTATCCCGAGAAAACTCGGGAGTGGCAGAATTTGTCAGTACGTTTTGTTTTTACACTTTTTTACTCTGCAGGAAGAAAACAAATTAATGTGTAGTGATTGAAAGTTAGCCAAGTTTTGCTGAGGAGTTTTGCTGTTTGATTATTAGATTGCACACGTGTTCTGTGCGATTGTATATACGATAGTTGCTGGATTTACATAGAAAAAAAATAAGAGTAAAAATAGAGTAGGCTTATCACTACACTGGCATTCGGAAAGTATCATTTTGTGTTGTCCTTCGTTTTAAAAACTATCATACAAAGACTAATATTTAACTTTTTTCATTTGCCCAAAATAACTCTGGATAGTAAACTGATGGTAAATTAAACCCTTTTTTAAACATAAAAAAATTAAAATTTCAGATTAAAACTTTTGCATTATGTTTTAATTCTCTGTATTTAATAATAAAATAAAAAAATTTTGATTTTTTTGAATTTTTTTTTTCAAAAAAAGTGGTAAGGGAGCTAGCTGTTAACATTAACAGATTTTAACAATTCTGAGGGAGTTTTTTTATTGTACAAAAATCTATTTCACAAATTAGAGAAATTATTTATATCAAATATGTTTTGCGCGAAACTGAGTTATATTTAGAAAACTCTTTTGTATTCTTATAGCACGAATCATTTTTAAAAATGTTTCGAAAAAGAGTTTTTCTTCCAGTTAATTTCGTTACAGAATGCTTACTTTGATAAAAGATAGGAAATGATTATGTTTTCCAAACAAAACAACACCTTGCGAAAAGCAAACGGCTTTAATTAGAAAAATACACAGAGTTCTAATGAAAATACTTGAGTGTATTAAGAAAAAGATATAGCGCCCGGAAAGGTAATTAGTTGAAGCTTGCACCGAGAAACTCAGAACTAAAATTAATCCAATCAGTCCCGACAAGTTCCACAGTTTTCGGCAGTACTGCGAAAAAAAGCACTGTTACTTTAACAAATCAATTATACATTTACTTCATTTTATGATACACTTGCTTTTTTTATATATATATATATATAAAACTAAACTGCTTACTTTTATCGCGTTGAAAAAAATTTTATCAACTTAAATACGTTCTTAAATTTCTAAGATAAAATGAGTTGTTGTTTCTTGAATAATTATTTGAACAAACTAAACTATTTGACTAAATTATTTGAACAAAAAAAACGATACGACTTTTATAAAAAAAATTTGCAAAGGCTGTTCTTACTAATATTTTAACCCATTTACCAGGTACCTTTTATATTGCAATGATTTAAAAAGTATTTTTATAAAAAAGGTGGTTGTTTATATATGGTTTTATAAGATTAAAATAAGTGGGTATTTTCTTATGTTTAGCTATTACTTAGTTTTCAAAAAATCATAATTCCATGATTTGAAATTAGATTAAAACTAGAAACATTTTTTTAGTAACAATAAAAAAGCGTTTCTATGTGATGAAAGCTAAGCATGAACAAACTGTTCCAACAGTATTATATGTTTTTACCAAAAAGAAATTGTAAGTTTTATTACTACTGAAATGGAAAATATTCGACAATTATCACACGGTGCAGCACACTTTTAATTCAACCATACTAAAAAAAAAAAATTTTTTTTTTACTTTTTTCTACTGTCATATGAAATTGATCATCGGTCGTATGTTTAGACACTTTGCTAATTTTTCGCAGTTTTTCCATGAAAATACTCGACCTCTGTAAACGTTTTTTGCTAATCAAAACATTTTTTTTTCCTCTTCCTAAACAAAAAAACAAAAATTCAAATGTTGTGTGCAATAATACATATTTTTTTCCCTGTATTGCAGAAAAATAGATTCGAGAAAATTATATATCCATGAATACAAAGATTTCTTTAGCAGTTATAACATATACGTAGATGTAGGACTACTAGGCCGAGGAAGAGGTAAAGATTCGTTTCGCAGAGATGCCACAGGCAACTGAAAATGTAAAAAGTGGTAGAAACTCAATTCACTTTTATTAATTTATTTATTCAAACGTAATTACCACTATGACTTAAATTTCAAATTATTCATATTTAAACCTAAAACATTCGTTGCATTCATTTTCAATAGTATACTGGCAAAAAAATATGTTTGAAAAAGTTTTTAGTTTTATTAGTCGCCCGTGAGATCTCTGGCTTCGCGATCTTAGGTGTTCAGATAAAATACGACGACGAGAAAGAGTGAGTAGTAATGAATAGTATGTAGTTTAGAATATACACCGAAGAGCCATTACATTATGACCACCCTTCTAATAACACGTAGAACCACCTTAAGCCCTCAAAACTGCTAGCACCCGCCGTGTGGCATTGATTCCACAAGGTGCTGATAGGTAGTCTGAGGCATCTGGTACCAAGCGCTCACCAACTGGTCCTGCAATTCCCTCACACTTCGAGGGGTAGCGCGTGCAGCACGAATTTGGTTTTCCAAGTAGGACCACAAATGCTCTATTGGATTAAGGTCAGTCGAATTTGGGGGCCAAGACATGACTTGAAAGTCACTGGAATGTTCCTCGAACCAATCTATGATGATTCGACCCTTATGACATGGTGCACTATCCTGTTGGTAAACACCATCACCCGCAGGAAAAACTGTTGCCATGAATGGATGAACCTGGTTTGCAACTATGTTCAAGTAGCTTACAGAGGTCAGGGATTGTTCTATGAGGATTATGGGTCCTAATGTGCCCCATGAAAACATTGTTCCTGGGCGAGAAACCATGAAAACCTGGACGAGCCCATTGTTATAGATGGAGGGTGGTCATAATGTAATGGCTCTTCGGTGTATATATTCTTCCCGAAAACCGGCTATAGTTAAATAGTTTGTCTACCAGTTTTTGACGTCTTACTTTCAGGTCTGGTAATATTTTCCAGCCTTGTGCGAAAGTTTTTTTATATTACCTTTATAATTCCGTACAACGAGCGTGCCTGACTGCGAAACCAATGGCTACGGGTTCGAATCCCGCTCTGGGCATTGATGTTTCTCTCTATGTGTTGACCTCTGTTGTGTGTGATGTGTGAATGTGGCCCACCCTATGAACGGGTTTTTGTGGCAGTGTAGAATGGGTAATGTTGCTCGCCTCCGTGACTTAGGTTGACTGGTGCCCACTGGGTAACGTTAAATGAGCAACATTTCCGGCATCTTCCGAGGTTCAGTACCTGCCATTAGAGAAAAAATAATAATCCCGTAAAACAGTTTTTAAAAAAAATTCAAAGCGAGAAAATTCTCACCTCAGTAAGAAAGAAAAAGGTTTTTAAATAGAAAATATTCCCCTATGATTGATGACAATATTCTGTAAACTAAAAGAATTTCAAAACTATTTATCCAATTAGAAATCCATCAAAATAAATTTGCTTCTAGCCTATCTATACAACTTTATAATTATGTGATTTGTACACATCTTTTGTTTATTTCATTGATATATTGCATTAATGATTTGATGATGGCATTGATGACTTATATTCATTTAATATTACATTGTATAAAATTTCTATTAATTAAAATTTTAGTATTTGTCTCTACTGCGAATAATCTTATATACAACCCCTTCAAATAATACAGAATTTAGATAGTATCAGAAATTATTTTTTCATAATAGTAGCAGAGGTAGCGTTGATTCATTTTCTTAAATAAGTCTTAAAAGAATTTTTCCCTACTCAAAATATTGATCCTCCTGACTTAGTGTAATTTGTATAAAATGTAAATTTATCTAGACTTGTGTCTAAACTTTTATAGCAAGTAAAATTCAAATTTTTTTTTTCTGATTTAAATTCTTATCTATCGAACCTTCTCCTATTGTTTGTTAGAATCACAGCGGAAAAAATCTGTATCATTTAGTAATTTACAGAGGAACTTCGCTCGTCGCAAAACTTTAACGGCAAACTGCATAATGTTTTTCTGAATATTCGAGAGCACAAGAAAAAATAAGAACTGTTATATCCTTGTAACTTACTCCTTCTAATAAAACAGCAGATATGAAAAGCTTTTTTTTTAATAATCCAATTCTCTTAAGATGGTTTATTGTGTATTGTTTTCCTTTAGGCGGCAAAAATAAAATAAAAACTCTCAAAAGTAAAACTTCAGCTATCAACTGCACCTGGTGCAAAAAAAAAAAGTTTTTTTTCCAGCAGATAGTTTTATAACTGAAGCTTACAGCACATTTCTACTTTAATGGTTATTTGATACATTTGAAGATTCCATCTTAAGAAAGGCGAGAAAATAAAGGATAATTCGAGAAACAATAAATTAAGATAAGGATACATTTTTTTTTATTAATTACTTTGCTGCAAAACACTGAAGTTTCTACTCTTGGAATATAGATACATTTTTTTACAATTTAGTAATTAAGTCTTACAATTTAGTCCAGAGCCCATAAACGCCTTGAATAAATAAAAACAAATGTAACTTTAACTAAAATGCTTATCATGAAACATTTATGCACCCATCATTTTATCACCAATATTTATCCTTAAAAATACAACAAAAATAAAGTAATATAGTTTTCTTTCTTTAATCGATTTCTAACAAATTAAGACTCAAAATACTTACATAGCTTCCCACTTTTACGCATTTTGCGTAGAATTTTATTTAAATATTTAGGTTTTACGTGCAAGTTTTTTAAGTATAAAAGTTTTACATGTTAAAAAAACTGGGAACATTTCAGAACTGCATAGATAAAGACTGTCGTCAAAATTTTCGATAACACTTATTGTTTTTTCCACCAATTCAAATACAGCCTCAAGGCAACCAATTACATATTCTTGTAAATATTATTTATAAATGTTATTGATAACAATGGTTGAAATTCAGATTGCCTGGCTAAATTTATGTTTTACTTGGAAAAGTAAAGAAAACACATACATTTTATTGCGAATAAAAACTTTTTTTTGCTCCATGTTGCTAATATTTTTTGAAAGAGTTATGAAATACTGTTAATAATTCTGTTTGCAATAATCAGTATTGTATCAAATAGCTCGAAATTATAGAAAAATTTAGTTGGAAACTATCTTCTGACAGCAGTTACATGCTCTTAACCCATTGGAATAAAGTTCATTTAAATGTTAGACAAAGAGGAAATAGCCAGATTAAAATCAAACAGTATCAATGAGGTACTTTGGAGGAGAAAAGTGTTTTGCCTTCTGTACCAAGTGCTCTTCGGCCCCCAGGCATCCCCTGAACATCTACTGGACTGCCTCGGTCTTTTAAAACAAGACCTTATAGAAAGACCCTTACTGAAGAACAAACTCATAGACCTTGTCTAGCTAGGCTTTCTAGCCTAGCTAGACAAGGGGATTTGAAAGAAGAAAACAAGCAGTAAGTTTTTGATTAAAGATGATTGATTTTTGATTTATTTTTGTCGATTAGTTACCAAATCAAATTTGATAACTATCTACATTATTATTTATATGATGTCGTAACTGTCAATTAACTATTACTTCCTGGAATAGACTGATAGCAACATACTTTTGACACCACTTTTTCTTTATATTATAACACTTTGATAATTCTATATTTCGCCGTTTCCAGTGCAGTTGGCACCTCTGAGGTTGCCGCGTGTGACTAAGTATGCAAAAACAGGTGACTAATAAAATTCAAAATTGTATTAAGAAAAATTAAATCAGCAACTTTCCTAGCATATTTTTTGAACCTGGAACTGGAACTAAAATAATTTAATGGGTCGTCTACATTGAAGTGCTTATCCCTAGTATGAAAGATGCTATTGCCTAAGGGATAATTTACTTGAGATGATTAATTTACATGATTTTTGCGAAAAAGGAGAAGTTTAAATAATTAACTCTTTAAGTATTCAAAAAAAAGGGGGTAATAAAGTTCCAAGATCCTGTTTTGCGACGTCTGGCTTTCGGTAGTCATAAAATGATCGAAAAATTGTATCATGGTTTTGGTGGCCAATTTCATAATATTTATTCATAAA